ACAGAAGCACTCAGTCATTGCAAGTTAACCCACTCAAAGGAGCAAAGAAAACAGTAGGTTAGAGGAGCTCTGATCTGTGGGCTCACTCAGCTGGGGCCAGCCCTGAGACTGCTTATGCTTTGCAGATGCTTGTTCATCAAGGGACGCAAAGGGTCTAGTCCAACACTGCTCCATGCTCTGGTACCCCACTCCCTTACATCAAAGCAGGGCCTTTCCCCACTATTCCACCTCACCTTATCAGAAGCTGGAGCCTCATGTCACTGGCATATGTTCTTCAAATACCCTGGAAAATCTCAGAAAATCAGGGGTCTAATTATTACTTTGCATTTTGCTCAGAGAGAAAATGTTTAACCAATGTCAGGCACAAAAAAAAATGTCTTTGTGGGGGTGGGGCTATGGCTCAGTGGCAGAACACTTGCCTAGCATGTGTGAGGCACTGCATTTGATCCTCAGCACCGCACACAAAAAACAAGCAAATAGAATAAAGGCATGCTGGTCATCTACAACTACAAAAAAAAAAAAAAAATGTCTTTGTGGCCCAATCATGTCAGTCAAGACAAAGTTAATTCTAATTCAGTTACTCAAAATAGTACAATAAAAAGCAAATGGTATTCAATAAGTCAAATTCTCTTTTCCAAAATGATATTATCACAATATTCTTTGAGAAATTCCCCAAAATGTACACTGTCATCTACTCTTCTTTCATTTTCCAAAGAGTGGTAACAAATGAATCTCCTATAAAATTATATTTGTTAGGCCAGGAAGAGTGGTACATACCTGTAATCCGAGCTACTCAGGAGACTGGGGCAAGAATCTCTAAATTTAAAAAAAAAAAATTTTTAAATGACTGAGGACATAGCTTAGTGGTAGAACACTTGCTTAGCACGAATAGGGGCCTGGCTTCAATCTCCAGTACCACCAGTTATAGTAGTCATTATACCTTTAATATGTTACCTTTACTATACACAATAATTATTTCCCTATTCATGTTCCTTTAAGTGAGTTGCTTTCTCACAGAGAAATCTCTTATATTTAAGTACTTGTATTTTCTATGGTTAGCTTGCGTGCTCTCCTCATTTATAAAGTTTTTGTACATAATTTCCAAATTTCATTTTTGAACAAATGATCCATTGTTAAATTTTTCTATTTTTTCTGGGAAGAAATAAATGCTGAACAAATAATAATATGAGTGTTATAAAGAAAATGAAGATCTACTGTTAAATCTTTGTCTGAGATTCCATAAAACAATCCAAGCCAAAACATGGAAACATGGATCTTAAACCTGAGGTACATCTATAACAGACCACCTGTTTTATCCAATAAAATCTTAGACACCCTAGGAAGAGAAAGTACTTCTCTCCTCCCCCTCTCCCCTCCCCATCTCATTCCCTTCCCCCACTCCTCCATCTCATCTCCATCTCTTTCTAACAGCAAGCCTTAAGCAGAACCCAAGACTGTACTTGAATGGCTTCCTCAGCTTTCAGATTAGATGGTTAGACCACATGATCTTTATTGTTCCTGTAAGTTTTCAAATCCCATTCCATACCTTCCTTGAAATAGCAAAATACACATTTCATTGGGTTACTTTGAATTGAAGGACTCTCTCAACAACTGAAGAAAAGTACCTTCTTTAGATGATGACTTGTGTGGATAAACCTTTCACACTTCCACCTTTGGTTTGAACAGACATCCTTCCTCATCGCCACAGGAGTGGCAGGGTTCAGTCCCTATATATAATCACTGTGGAGAGGAACTAATTCTGACATATGGCCTGCATTACCATACACAGATGATTTCTCCAACTCCAACCTTTTCCCTGAAGTCCAGACAAATATCCAGCCTACTTCACACATCAAACAATTGGATATGGAAGCTTAGTAAGTCCAAAAACAAATTTCTAATTTTATTGTATCCTCTCCAACAATCTTCCCCAGCTTACTCTGTACAAACTCCATTCTTTCAAATAATTTGGTTCTTCTTTCTCACACACCCTTTAGCCAATCCATTAGTGTCCCAAGTACTCCACTTTCAAAATAAGTACGGGATCTGACAACTTCTCACCACCTCCATCTCCACCACTATACCAGCTTCTAACACTGTAACAAATTAGTACAAACCTAGTGACTTAAACTGACCCAAATTTATTACTTATAATTCCATAATTTAGAAGTCTGCGATTGGTCTTATCACATTAAAATCAAGGTGTTGGGGCTGGGGATATAGCCCAATGATAGAGCACTCATAATAAGCATAAGTCCCTGGGTTCAATACTGGTTTTATTGAGTGAGATGGAAAGATGGGGATCAAACCCAAGGCATCTTGCCTGCTAGGCACTTGAGCATTCTCCTGCTGAACTACACCCCAGCCTAATCACATTTAAAGTAAAGTGTCTTAGTTGTACCAATAAATAAATAGAATCAAGAGGTTGGCAGGGCTGTGTTCTGAAAGCTCCATTTTCTTTCCTTTGGCTAGCTTCTCAGCCTCATGGCCCTCTCCTCACATCTTTATAGCAGCAGAGGGTCAAACTACTTTCACATGGCATTAACCTAATCTCTCTGCTGTCTCTGTGTTCCACATCAAAGGATCCTACTGGTTACATTAGTTCCACCCAGAAATACAGAATAATCTCCCTATTTTAAAATCAGCTAATTAGTGACCTTAATTCTATCTGCAATCTTAATCCCCTTTGCCAAGTAACAAAACATATTCACAGGGATTAGGACATGGACATCTTTGGTGGGTGTGAGGAGAATCATTCTGATTGTTCTTCCTATTATAACCACTTTGGTATAAATTTTATTTATCCCTCATCTAGATTATTCTAATAGTCTCCAACCTTGCCTCCTCATGCCTATACCACTATGATTATCACAAAGAAACTAGAACATTCCACTCAAAATTTGAAGTGTGATTGGGCTGAGGTGAAGCTCAATGATCGAGTAATGAAGTGCCTATCGTGCCCTGAGTTTGATTCCCAGCTCTGCAAAGACAATAAAGGGGGGAAAAAAAAGTTTAATGTGATCATGTGACTCACCAGCTAAAAACCTCTAATGGCTTCCCATCTCACTCAGTAACGCCCAAATTTAGAAGGACCCTGCTAACTCTCCTACTCAGTGTCCCCCGCCCCCCAAGTCCCCTTTCTTCATTCAACTCTAGTCACAATAACCTCTTTGCTGTTCTTCTACAGTCAGGCAAGTTCCCCTCCCCAGGATCCCTAAACTTCTTGTTCCCTCTGCCTGGCACTCTTCCCCCAGATATTTATGAGGCTTATTCCTAAATTTCCTCAGATATCTGTTCAAGTGTTACTTTATCAGCAAGGTCTTCTCTGAGCAGACCACTCTATCTAAAATAGAAGCCCCTTCCCCCAATATCCTCTGTCTGCTATGGACTGAATGATTGTGTTCCCCAAATTAATATATTGAAGCCCTAACTCCCAATGAGATGGTGTTTGAAGGTAGGACTTTGGGGAGGTAATTGATTTTGAGGAAGTGTTAAGGATGGAGCCTCCATGATGGGATTAGTACCCTTATAATAAGAGGCCTGAAACTACTCCCTCTCTCTCCCCGCTCTCCTCTTCTCTCTGTTATTTCCCTTCATTTCTATCTTGCCCCCCCACACACACCCATGTGCATATTGAGCAAGAAGGTGGCCATTAGCAAAACAAGAACAACCAAATAAGCCAGCACTTTCACCTTAGACTTTCAGCTTCTAGAACTGTGAGAAATAAATGTTTAAATCACCAGTCTACTTGCTATAGCAGCCCAAGCTAAGACACTATCCTTACTTTTCATTTTCTTCATAGAACTTACAATATTATTATTTAATTAGCATTTATCTCTTCGGGGGGGGGGGAAGTATATGTTTGTTCTTTCACTGTTTTCTTAGTACCTGTATTAACTGAAATTCTCAGTAACAATAAATACCTGTTGGATGAATGAATGAAACTCTACTACTGCTAACTAATGCAGAGCTGGATCTTTGTACTGTTCGTTCACAAAACGTTCTCCCCCCCAGAAACAGAAGATTCTTATGTAGACAATTATAGGGCTATAAAATGAAGGGGAAGAAGTACATTTTTTTAAAATCCAGGCATAAGATATATAGAAAAAAATTAATAATTTTTAAACGTTTTGGTCATTATGAGAATACTAATAGAGGAGTGAGAGGGAAGGAATTCTGACTAGCCCATTGTTCTTCAAAATAGGTCAAGAGTTTTATTTTATTTAATTTTTGTTTGTGTCCATTTTTTTTCCTGATCCTGAACTGTGGCAACTTTATCTTTGGCTGATGAAAATAATCTGAACCATCCACTGTAATTTTTAGTCTGTTTGTTGGACAAAATATGAGGAAATGTGGCCCATTTTACACCTTTTTCTTTTGTTTCAAACAGGAGGAGCGGGTTTTGCCACCCTAACCAACTCACCTGTTACCTGATATGTCCACTCAGATGGCAGAACTAGCAATGAAGTGTGGAGTAATATGTTTGGAACCTTGCCCATGCTGAGCCCCAAATGTAAGAAATTGCCCTCATGTTGAGAATCATGAAGGTGGGACAATTCACTACTTGAAAAAAGCCACTGGTGTATTAGGACAAAGGCAATAGAAGAAAAGTCAAAGTGAAGGCATAATCATATGTAAGTTTTTCTAGAAGATCAAGCCAGTTGTGTAAAACTGGAATGTGTGCATTCCAGCTTTATCTCTGGGATTCATATAGGTAATTTACTTTTACCAAGATTTCCCCACTTGGTTTCCAGAAAAAAAAAAAAACACTCTTTTTCATGTGGTATATGCTTTTCTTAAAACAACTTACCTTTCTTATTAACAAAGTTTGCCTTGGCGCTGGTTATTTTGTTTGCACAAATAAAATTCTGTGTGTGTTTATCATAAATCTTACAAAATTATATGAATGATCATTACAAACAAATGTGCTTAGCACCTGTTTTATTGCTAACAATTACCTCTGAGAATCTGTCTTTTCCTAAGGCAACTGGTTAGGCTACCTCTCCTGATTTTTTTTTTTTTATTCTAGCAACTGAAATGAAAGTTTTCAATAGAAACAGAATTACATATTCTTCCAGGATATGTTGTGTGTATTGAAACTTTCACACAGAGACTAGGCTTCTGGGATTAGAATCCTTAAATATTAGTGATTGGAAGATTCCAGTAATGCTTCTTGTAGTTATTTAACTTACAGCCTCCTTTTCCTTCTTACGAAACAGGGCATTATATAAGTTTAAAAATAGTGAATTAGTTTCTCTTTCTTAACCCCCACCAGCAATGGTACTGGGGAGTGAATCCAGGAATACTCTACCACGGAGCCTCCCTGCCGCCCAATTTAAGAAAGAATGTTTCTTATTTAACTAACTGGCAATCCTCCTGCCTCAGCCTCCCAAATAGCTGGGATTACAAGTGTGTGCCACCGCACCCGGAGAACCAATTGATTTCTAAATCCCTTCCTGCTCTACATAGTTCTACAAAGATGCTAGAAATAAATATTTTTAAAATAGACTGTGATGTGTGTGTACACACACATGCGTATATGTATAGATACACGCAGTGAAAAGGAGAAAGACTATACAATGCTTCACAGCTGTGCATTAAAACTTTACAGTGCATTAAAATCAAGACGTTTTTGTTAGAAGTTTCAGGGTGGCATTCGCCTGCAGAGTGAGTTTTGAAAAGCCAGATTTGGGAAATGGTTCCAGTTACTCCTACTCAACCTGCAGGCGCTTCACCTGTGTTCCAGGGCAGTGTTTGATGGGACAACATCCCAGCTCAACTAGGTACCCAGCGGAATTTGTAGCCCCCACTGGCTGTTCGGATGGTGAAGGCATTGCCCTGGGGGAAGGCGAGCGTGCGGATAGTGCAGTGGCTGCGGATTGGAGTGCTGAAAGAGCCGCCCTCCTCCAGCTCGCTGTGGTTCAGGTTCAATGAGCTGCGACCGCAGTCCGTGCGCAGTCCTCGGAAGGCTCCGTGCAGATTTCCGGGCCAGCAGTCAGTGTTCCTGGGCTCGGTTTGCAGGCGGGGCCTCTTGGCATCGCGACTCTGTAGGGCTTCATCACAACGCTCAGAAATCTCTTTCAGTATGGCATCTACTTCCGCGCAATCCTGACCGGCAGCGCTGAACATCTCCTCCAAACTCCTTTTTGCAGTCGTTTTGAACAGGAAGGGCTCGGCGGTGGCCCCGCAATCTCGGGACTGCGTGATCATCAGCTTCTATGAAAGATGGGGAAGAGCGCCACCCTGGGGCCAGCGGGAATCGCCCCAAGCCGGGCGCGCAAAAGGACACCCGGGTGTACTACGCACTGCACTACGTCCCTACTCTCCTGAACCCCACTGGGTTCCCACACAGGGAGCAGAGTGGGTGTGCAATGAAACAGCTTCCAGAGCCCCGCAATGTCCCACACGCTTGCTCCCTACTTACATCCAGCACCGAGGCCAGGTGTCTGGTCCGGCTGGCGAGTTCTTTCAGCTGCACGTTCCGTTCCTTAAGCGAGGCGATCTCCTCCTGTTTCTGAGTTAGCGTCACGTGCAGCTACAGGAGGAGATCCAAACGTTCAGGGACTTGGCCACCGTGCTTGGTCTCATCTGCGTGAATTAAACCCAGATCCTGACGTCTCACCAGGAATTGAGCACCCAAGGGCATTTACACTTCTGAGAATCATCAATTTATTTGACTTTTTCCCCCCACGGTACTTGGATTAAAATGTATCTTCAGTGTGGCCGTGGTAGTGACTAGTACCTGGTTGGGCAACAGGCAGATCTAGCTTCTGCCTCTGAACTTCAAACATCCTGTTTTAATTATTAGTAAAATGAAGTTGGTAAGTATGTTTTAGCTCAGTACTTAATAAATGAGAAGAATAATTTAATAAGCACGGTGCCAGGCAAAAAAAAAGCCTTCAATAAATAAAATATTTGGTAAAGTGAAATTAATACCACTTAGTGAAGTTGGAAAGTGGGGTGGGACCACTGGAGCAATATGTGAACCACTAGCCTGTCCACAGGGGAGCGTCCCAGTCCTTTCAACCCCACTTCTGCCTTACTCCAGTCCTGGCCCTAGGATTCCTGGTCACTAGTTCAGTGTCCCTACTTGATTATTTTCAACGAGAGCGTTCCCCAGTGCTCTCTGGTTCTGGTCGGCCAACTCCTTCCAGTACTGTTCTGGCGGCGGCACCTCTGGAGGGCGTAGTGGTGCTGACTGGAGGGCCCGGGGCTCCAACCGCTGGGAGAGGTAGGACCCGAGAGGTGATACATCGCAAGGAGAGAAGGGGAAGTCACTGACGGCCAGGGTAGGCGACATCAAAGTAGATGAGTCTGGGAAAAGGCGAAAGCTGGATATGTTGCTTCTGATTCATCCCCAGCTAGCTACAGGGTCAAAATGCCACGCCAGATGTATGCTTTATACGGAGATTTTTTTTCTTTATTAAGGAAAGCACCCCCTCATTCCTGATATTTTGGACATATACAGCAGGCGCTCCATATATATACCTGTTGAGATAACCCTAGGGTAAACAGGCAACCCTGCGAGGACTTGGAAGTTACACAAGGCCTTCCCTCCTCTGCACACTATTGTCACTCAAGCTCTCCCAGGCCACATCGCAAGGACCCCTCTTCCAGAACCCACCCCAACAAACCAGCTATAAATTCAGCTATCCAATTTCTCCACTGGAGAAAGGAAATATCCTAAATATAGAAGCCCAAGACCCTTTTGTGAGGTGATGTCCAATCATTTACTGGCGGCTGGGTTCACCACCTTCAGAACCACAAAATCTTAACTAGTCTCATTTGGAGATGGGAGACATCCCGGCTGTTATTTAACGACTAAGAGACTGCACTTGCCTGCAATGAGGTCATCCACTGTGTCTCTGAAATTCTGAAGACTGAAGTCCACTTCCGTTTCCAAGGTGTGGCTCTAAAATAAACCCGGGGGTGTAAAACGATCATCGTTGATTCTAGAGGGTCCAGAACAATCCCCAGGTTTCGCCACTTGGGAGGTGGGGGGACGATCTGCCGGCACTCGCTTTCACAGCGGAGAGTCTCATACCTGAAAACCAAGCCCTACCCGAGACAAGGAACCCAGCAGCCTTGCACTGCGCTGGTGGAGAACCAGAGGTGTAGAGTGTGCGGACCCGGTCAGCTAGACTTGGAGCCACGGATCTTCACAAGGCGCCAAAACTATTCCCTGAAGTCTTTCTCCGCAGACTGTGCGGGATATCTGCGGGTGCGGGATATCTGCGGATCTGGGCTTTGGACAGCTGGACCGTGCAGCAGATAACCAGCTGCCTCTGTGCGCTGTTCTTTGTGCACTTGTCAACCCTAACTCCAACTTACCCCCAACCAACCAAGAGGCCACGGCTCTAAGAGTAGAGAGCATGGCATGAACCCAGGTCTTTCCTCGGAGACCCGACAGCTTGCAGAGTCCTTCAATGTGGTAACTGGAAACTGTGCTTCCCAGAAAGCTCAGACACAGCTAACCAAAAAGGAGGGTGAAAGATGATCTATGATTGGAGGAGCCAGGGATGCTATAAAAAATGCTTCTGTTCAGCAACATGTGTTGCCTCTATTGATCTTTTCAATTTATTTCAGTTTATTACAAAGTTGGAGTTGACTCTCCACTCCCCCCTCCCAGGATGCACCTCCAACTTCCTGAACTGTATGAATGCTTTTCTGGCCTCCAGCGAGGTGTCTAGGTAAGTGAAGGGGAAGAAAACTTAAAGGCTGGATGCCCAGGAACCTTCTTATTCTCTTAACTTGTGGATAATTCAAGTTGACAAAATTTTATTTTCTATATAGTCTCCCAGTTAACCCTCACACCAATGTGGGAGGCAGGTAGGGCTCAGGAAGTGCTTCCCCTTTCACTGAAGGAGAATATGAAGCTGGAGAAGTGGAGTTACCCAAAGTCCTCCCACTCTTGCAATGCTAGTGCCTATTCCAGTCATCTTTCCTATATAACTCAATACCTGTCTTTTTTTGGGGGGGGGGGTTGAGGGAAGGCCCAGCTTACACTAAAGATAACACTAGGAAGGGGAAGGGAGTCTCTAGAGCCATGATGGGAGGGGGACATATTCAATACACCCATCAGAAATATCTTCTCTGATTCTGCTACTGATTCATGTGTGTCAATCATATTGCTCTCCCCAAAGCACTTCTCTACTAGTCATATATTTGGGGGAAAAGGAATTTACTCTGACCCAAACTTCAAGTATCAGTTTCTCTCAGAGAAGAAAAAGTCAAATCAAAGTCTGGAGGCCTCAGTACCATTTGAGCACTGAGGCCATAAGAGGAAAGAATCTGAGAAAGGAAGGACTGAGGGACCCAGACAAACCCTGATGCAGGAACTCCGCCTTGGTGGAAGTAATGAAATATGACAGTCTTCACAGATTGAAAGGTCTCTCTCTCTCTCTCTGCAGGTATTTGAGAAAAGCCCTTACGTGAATAGATTGGAGGCCAACTCAGGAAATGTGGCTCAGGAAGTGCTTTCTCCTACAATATCCCAGGTTTTGGTCAATTCTAGACCTAAAACAATTCTGCCTTCCCCTGTGGGACAGCAGCTAGCAAATGTAGTGCACTGGTCAGGTGTTTGTTAGGGAGCTCTTTCCCTATACCAGCTCTTTCCCACAGAAATCCTGGACTTTCTAGTCCATGTGGTGTGATCCCTGGCCTTAAAGATTTGAATCCCACTTTCCCAATGAAATAACTCCGACATTTCTACAACTACAACAAGAAAAAAAAATGCTGACACACAACATATTGTCAAATTTAAATTCAGTAGACTTAAGTGAGAATTCATCAAGAGGCCACTTGATTTTGTTGCTTGCAAAATAAACATGTTGGAGTAAGGGAGTGATCTAGGTCTCTGGGCCAAATGAAAGATGTCTTTGCTTATTTGCACATCCAGATCTTTAAAAAAAAAAAATTAAATGGCCTCTGCAGTTGCAGGGAACCACACACTCCCACCTCCTTGCCTTAACAATCTCTGCTCTTAGGGCCACCTACCCTGAGTCCTCCTGAGCTCTTTCCCAAAGTTCTAAAAAGCTCTAAAAAGCCTAGTTCTGAGAGGTGTGTGTGTCTTCTGGAGAGTTCTGTATGGAGACAACGACCTTGTGACCCCAGCACCTGCTGACAGAAAGCAGGAGTTGTCACTCTTCTGTGGGTAGCATCTGGATAAAATCACCTGTCCATCGATGAGCCAATCTTCTGGCCTTCTAGACCAGTGCTGAAAGGCTCCAATGTCTGGGAGTGTAAGCCCCTGCCTCTTTGCCACATGGTGGCAAATGATTAGAACTTTTTTGGGAGGGGGCAGAGGATAAAAGGACTTTTTGAAAAGTGCCTAACTGCTGAAGGACCATCTCTACAGACAGGAATCTGTTCTGTCAGATTTCTTCCACAGTCCTTTGTCCTTCTTCTCGCTTCCCCTCAAATATAAACTCTTCCTCTTTTCCAGTGTTGATCGAGAAGTTATCCATCGATTTCCACTCTCCTTCAATACCCTCAGAATGAAAATGGTTAGTGAATGGCTGGGAAGAGGGTGTTGAGAGAAAAACAGGACAAGTATCCTGTACGCTGGTGCCCAGGGCAACTTTGCCCAGATTCACCCACTCGGTCCCTCAGTGTTCCATCTCCTCCCTGCCTTGTCACAGCTCCAGGGAATAAATGCGGAGAGGAAGGGCAGGAGTGAATCCCACTGTAAAACTTGGCTAAAACAGCTCTGGAAACAGCAGCCTTCACAACATACTATGGGGGAAGAGGACACTCGGATCTGGGAGGCTCGGGTTTCTGCATGCCTCTTCCCTTCACCAGTTCAACGTGATTGCGGTGGGTGCCTGCGACAAACCTTTGCGGAAATAAACCCACATTTAGGAATGAGGTTTGTATTTTCAGAGGCAGCAACGCTCCTCAAGGGGAAGTACCTGAGAGGCAGCCGGGTCACCACTAGGCGGCGCGTCGGACCCGAGTAGAGAGGAGCAGTCTGCGAGGTCTTGCAAGTCTATCGTGGTAAGGGCTGCGCAGGGAGACCGAGAGACACACACCAGACGGACCCTAAGCCTCTTGACCAGATTGGCCGCTGGGACCCCCACCAGGACGTCGGAGACACGGGAAAGTTTCCCCTAGGGGAAAATGCAGGGTCGCGCACGTGCCTCGGGGCTCACCTGGCAGGGCAGCGGGCTCCACGTCCGGGGGGTCCTCGTATACAGACACCGGGCTGCCGCCGCCGCATCCCGAAAAGAACTTCCGCGGAGGGACGAACTAACCGAGCACAGAATAGTGAATACCGGTCAGCCCTCGGGACAGGGAGTTCGCAGACCCCTCCGGGTCCCCACCAGAAACCCCACCTTCCTCTCCGGCTTCACCGGTTTGCGGAGAGGCGGGCCTGGCAGCTCCAGCATCCTGTTAGGGCAGATGCTATCGAAGACCCGGCGTCCCGCCGCGCTGCTCCCGCACACTTGCATCCTGTGTGTATCGCTGGAATGGCGACCCGCACCCCTACGGTCCCTGCGCTACCTGCGCCTGTTGGCTCAGAAGTTAGTCCGAGGTCGGGGAAGTCGCGTGGCCCGGGAGGAGAAGAGGAGGGCGGAGAGGAAAGGGAGGATGGTTGCTCGGGAGGGGTGGCTCGCGCCTAAGCGCCAGAGGTGGCGCCTTTAGTCTCTGGCAATCTGCGCGCGGGCGGAGGCGTTAACTCAACCTGGCAACCCGGCTTCCCCCGGGAGAAGCGAGCGCGGGGCCCAGGCCCATGAGCGCCCTTTCCGCCAGCGTTGGCGCCACCGCCTCCTGGCCGCGCCAGACGCCGAGAGCGAAAGAACTGAACTAGAAGCGACCGATCCCCAACATTAGTTACTGCCTTCCAATTTACGGACAGCGGGGATGGAAGAGTTAAAAGACTCATATTTCCTTTTCTTTGCACCCCAGTCACAAAGCACGAATAAACGTGAACTGACAATTGCCAAAGGCTGACTTCAGCATTTTGTTCTGTCTGGCAGGATTTAGTGGGGATGTAGCATTCTGGAAGGGATTCCTTATAATAATCCCAGTTTACAGAAACCCCTTCCCCAAAATCTGAGCAGCATTCAGGGTTTTGACTCAGTTGACTTTTATGGAGACTCCTGAACTAATGCAAAAGCCCCACCCCGTAACACTAGCCATGCACCTTCCTAGGTAGAGGCACCTGAGTACAATCTTTAAATTTTTTTTAATATTTTTTTTGAGAG